AGGTAGATCGTGCCCGATCGGTCTCCTGGTGCCATGACCCACAGCCATGCGAGCCATGTGGGAGTTCAAGTATGGTATCAACTTTCGGAGGCCGAATTTGAAGGAGGTACGTGATCCGAAGTGTTCAGAAGGTTTGAGGATGTGGTCCAGGTGTTGAACGGTCTCAGGTGTTGAAACCAATACATGTTCCGAATTAGAATACACTCCTTGAAATTATCGAAGTGGAAAATGATGGAAAATGGTCCCTTGGATCACAATTGGCCTGTACAAAGAAGTGACGAAAGGAAAAGGACAAAGCCAGCACCAGCTGCCACTCACAGCCTCGATTTAATTGCAGGTGGGATTTTCTGAGGTGATCCTCCAAGTTGTCTACAGTGAACAGCCACACGAGCATACCGAGTTGCTCACAAGTTTGCACTCCAGAGAGCACATTTGCCCAGTTTGGGCATGACTCCAGAATGCATCTCAGAACCACCTGAGACCCCCCAAACTGCTTCGACGCCCAATGAAAACTCCACCCAGCACATGTCCCACTAGCACAACTTGTGACCCAGTCACTCTTGTCCCCACCCCACCCCAAAACAACATATCTAAAAAAGAGAAACTGAGGGAACCGCTGGCCCTCCTCCCTTCGTCTCCAAAGACTCGTCCTCCCGACCAACCGTGCTGAGACCGGACCCGACTCGCCCGACCCGCCCGACCGCCCATCCGACCCAACCAGGTCTGTGGAGGTGGGCGATGACTTGGACCCGTTGGACGATGAAGGTCAAGGCTTCCTCCAGGAACGACAGCGGTCCGGTCCAACTGGGTCGACCAACCCGCTGTTCGTCTGTCTTAGACCGCGGGGGCGAAGCAAAAGCGACCGAGCCGGACCGAAAGGAGGAGAGCTTCAAGTTGATGTGTTCAAGCAAGTGAGAGGGGAACTTTGAAACACGGGGAGGACGTTGGATTCTCCGCATGAAAAGCAAAACGGACTGCCATCACATTGCATCACGTCCAAATGACCTGATAACCTCCCTCTCTCGCTCATTTAAACCAACAGAATCACGACCTTGCCTTTCTGACTTGCCAGGAGCTCTTCCCAGCCCAGCGAGTGGTGGTGTTCCACATCACGTCCCGAATTCCAGCTGTTCAGCGCTTTTTGATCGCTCCGTCTGTCCATCACTCCGTCTGTCCATCGGTGAAACCGAGCGGTAACATATCCGGTCGGATCCCTGCGTGGTTTTTCTGGTGGAGGCGTTGTTAAACCCTATAGTTACAAAGCCTAACAAAGCCTGGTGGAAAAGCCTCATCGACATCGTCCCTAAAACGAAGAACGAACACCCCAAAGACGGCGATCGAAGGTCTGCGGGGATGTGGAGCCGAGGACGTCGGCCCAGGTGGTCTGGATCCATGTAATGCACTCCTCAAATGAGCTGATTGAGGCACTGTGCTTCCCAGGTCGTAGCACAGTTCCTGGGTCTCCGGGTTAAACACATGGATGGCACCCATTCCGCAAGCCCATCAGAAAACGGTGTAAAATCCACATGATATCACATGATGTGTCTTCAGAAATTTTTAGAGCTATGTGGTCTCGCAACCCATCACCATCCATGACCTATATGACCTGTCCCGCCCAGGCGCGATGTAACCAGGCGCTGGTTTTCTCCATCCCTGGCCAGGCAAGACATCCGAAGGGATCTACACGACTCACCCAGCTGTGGAAGTGGAATTCATCCCAGCTGTTTGTAAAGGAAGATGGTTTGGGGGGCCCATTGTTTCCGCAAACATGTGAATGAGTCATTACGCTGGTACGAAGGTTCTTCAACAGAGTTGGTCACGAAGCCCGGCGAACGGAGGTATACCTTGGTCTTGCGGGTCGTTTGGGTCGTCTGGGTGGTTGTTTGATTCGTCGTCACTTCTGCCACCTTTGCTGTGAAGTGGCCATCTGAGACAGACTTCAGTGACGCGTGTCTTTGTGAACCATGTTCTGCGAACCGAAGAACGGATCGATGGTTGAACGTCGCATGACACACCGCAGCGAGTTTCGCGGAAAAGCTGGGCCCAGCGAAATGCGGCTTTTGGATCAATGGCTGTGGGTGATGGCACCAAAAACCCCTATATGGTCTAGTCCCTGGTAGCTTGACCACCCTGAGGTAGTCGAACTGTTCCTTTTCGGTGGGCAAAAGAAACAAGGTCCACGAGTGCCGTGACCGCCATATGAAGCTAGACAGGTTCAGGTGAGCGATGCGATGCGAAGTGTAGACTTGGAGATAGAGCGAGCGAAGCTGAAAAGCGTTTAGCTCTGTGTCAAACGTTTCCCTGGTGCACATGGACCGTAGAATTTCACAGGTCAGGGTTTATAGCCAAAGTTTTGTTTGAAAAAGATTTATAAGTTTTTGGAAAAGACACTAAAAAACAAAACCTACAATCCCGCAGAAAGATACCAGCAAGGTGAATACAGAAGTTTGGACGCAGGAAACATTGTACAAATACTAGGAACTTGCAGGAAAATGCAAACATACATACCAATCAAGCAAACCCTGGGCTCAACAAACTGCGCATGGCGCACGGCCATCTGTGAGTCTGTGTGAGCCAGCTTGTCTCTTTTTTCTCCTGTGACTAGCGACTTCTGCCTTCAGTCTATCATCAGCTCCGTGGCTTTGTTGGGTGACAAACGCTTCGCTCAAGCATCTTGCCCTACACCACGCAAACAACAAAGGTTTGAAAGGCAAGGCCTTTCACTTGGAGGCTGAAGTATTTTGCTTCTTGCCATTGCAAAACATCGGCTATCATTCCAAAAAAAGCTATAGTTAAAAACAAGGAACCATAACTGGCAGCGCTGGCTACAAACAAGATTGTAATTCCAAAGCAAAAGCTAGTATATATTCCGATTCTAAAAAAATTATTCAAAAAAGAACCATGCCTGGCAGCGCTGGCTACCAAAAAGTTATGATTCCAAAAAAAGTTATAGTTCCAAAAAAATAGAACCATAACTCGCTGCACTGGCTACCAAAAAGTTATGATGCCAAAAAAAAGTTATAGTTCCAAAAAAAAGAACCATAACTCGCTGCACTGGCTACCAAAAAGTTATGATTCCAAAAAAAGTTATAGTTCCAAAAAAAGGAACCATAACTTATGATTCTTTTTCCAAAAAAAAATCATAGCCAAAAACTATCAAAAACCTTTCAAAATCAAAGGTGTTTGCTAGTTTGGGGCTCTGTAAATCTAGGTTTTTCACTAAAACACATAGCTCAAAACTAGCAAACACAATTGATTTTGAAGGCTTTTTGTTAGATTTAGGCTATGCATCTGTTTGGAAAAAAGAATCATAAGTTATGGTTCTTTTTTTTTGGAACTATAATTTTTTTGGAATCATAACTTTTTTTGCTTGGAATATTTTGGAATCATAACTTTTTGGTAGCCAGTGCAGCCAGTTATGATTCTTTCTTTTGGAACTACAACCTTTTTGGGAATCATAACTTTTTGGTAGCCAGTGCTGCCAGTTATGGTTCTTTTTTTGAACTATAACACTGTTTTGGAATCAAAACTTTTAGGTGGGCTGTGTCACCAGTTATGATTCTTTTTTGGGGAAACTATAGCATGTTTAAGAATCATAACTTTTGGGTGGGCACTGTCCGCAGTTATGATTCCTTTGTGTGGAAAGCAAGGGCGATTGACAGAATCTTGACTAGACATAAATCTGTGGATGTTCGTCAGATTCACACACTTGATGTTTGGATAGTGGTTGGCTCGGCGCGGTTGGCGTCCCTTTTTATATTGAACCTGGTGGCAGCATGACATGTGCGTTCACACACATAATGTGTGTGTGTGTGTGTTTGTTTGTGCGTCTTTGTGGTTATCTTAAAACTTAAACCTGTCGCATACATTCTTAATTTTGGCCTACTTGTCAAACTGAGATTGGCCGTTAATAAAGTGGAGCCATATGGAAGCTCTGGAAGCACCATGCACCCTGCGACATAAAACCAAGACACGAGGATTGCACTGAAGCAGGAATTGGGATTGATTATGGTTTTTGTTTTAAGTTCAACCATCTTAAAAGTTATGATTTTTTTTTTGGACTGAACCGCCTTGACTTGCGAAATTTGAACTGGCTAGCGTGTAGAGGGTGTTCATGTACCTCGAAACGATGGTTTTTGGTGTTTGATCTGCGCGCAAAGACTGGGATCCGGGATCCTACTTAATACTGAGTGCTCTGGAGAGGGAGGTTCCTCTGGTACAGGTAGACATGAAGAGTGGACCAAGCGGGCTGATGAATCGGTGGACACGAATCTCAGAAGTTGGTTGGTTTTATTGAACCAGTCTTTAATGTTCAATACACACCCCGGGTTCCGTCTCAGAATATCTAGAAGCAAAACAGCAAGGTGGTGTGCGTGGAGCAAAACAGGGTTTCAACTCCGCAGCTGTTTCAAATCCATGTGACCGTAGCTAATGCTTGCTCAAACAAGTCAGGCGAAGGAAATGATCCTGGATGCACAAATAAGCACATTCCTTTATCGCCATTAATCCACATGATCATAGATACCTGTGATTCTTGGGGATGGGTCGTTCAACCTGGAGCCCGACCAGTCCACCATGTGAACTCCCAGCTAGGTGCCACCTGGCTAGCCAGATGAAGTAACCCAGACCCCTTGTAGATACGTGCAAAAGCATCACCAAGCTTCCCAGCCGCACTGCCACGTCCAAAATCGGGCTTTAGAACGGGCTGGGGCAGTTAGGGGTCCAAAGGCATCACCAAACTGAACCACTTAGATGCAAGAGCTGTTGTTTTTCACTCCCATGCTTTCAAGCAAAGGAAGAACACAACAATAAAAAAAGGGACCAAACAGGTTCCTTTGTTTTGTTTTTTCTGGATGACTGTGTTTTTCTTCTGTTGTTTGTGTCCACGCTTTCTTGCTAAGTGCATCACTTGAATCGCCGTTCACCTTCATCCGACCCTGGATCAGGCTTCCCGTGGTAAGTTTCCACCGCCCGCGGTGCGCCTCGTCGTTCTCTCCGCGATGGTGGCGGGCACGGTGGAGGGCCACCTCGAGAGCGCCACGGATCTGGCCACGCTGCTGAGCGTTCTGACGCTGCGCGAGAAAGATCCCAGCCAGCAGCGAGTCATTTGCGAGGCGAGTGAGAGCCTGGGTGAAGCATGTCCAGTACGTGCGTAGAGAGGTTTTGCTTCTTTTGTTTGTGCCAACGTGGAATCCAGTGATGGAATCCTACAACTGCTTGCTTGAGCAGGGATTGGAGACCTCAAACTATCAGTCGACATGGATTTTTGTAGGATCTTCTGCAAGTGGAATGGGTTGAAGGAATGGGTTGATGAGGAATGGATTGCTGCGGGATGCATCCTTTGAAGTTCACTGAGGAATGGGTTGAAGTTCACTGCCCAGAGCGCTGGGAAAGACGTGGCGGTGTTGGGATGGATCTTCAAAGATGCCTTCACGCAGTACACATTCGATGGAGCCGGAGAGGACTGAGCTGTCAAAGTTCTGACGATCTGCCAGCCAGTCCCAAACTTGGGGTGGTGTCAGGGTCTAAAACACCATCATATATCATCATATACAATACAATCACCTTGAAATTAGCCCTAGAGAATCGTGGGAGGATTCACTCATATTCATGCGAACACCTGCCCCCCTTTCAATCAATGAGACTGGAGGATATGACTGTGGGCCAAAAACCCGCGCACCCTGCTTGGCCCCGGATCCAATGAACAGATTCCTCTAGATCAGGGGGTTCTACCATGGTTTCGAGAGGAAGGTGCCACTCAGACGCCAGTCTCATAGCCATAGTATGAGTGGGTCAAAACCAGGAGCCCCAGGCTAGGTTGACCTGATTCATGTTCTTTGGTCAACCCAGGGAGCCCCGGTGCCATGGCCGGCATGGATTGTGTCGGTATGAAAGGGGTTGGGCGTGAAGTACTGTTACTACTACTGATAGCATATTACTAGCTCTTTCTTGATTCTATGGGTGGTGCATGGCCCTTCTTATATAGTTTGGAGTGATTGGTCGACGGTGAATTCCACACAAGTTGACCTTGCAGTTCACCACATCTCCAAATCGCTTTTGGAAGCTAGTAGTAACAAGTGCCACGCTAGAAGCGATGCACTTGTTCCTAGTAGAATTGTAATTACTAGCAAAGGAATCTACTAGGACCTTTTGCAGCTTGGAGTGGTCTCCACTTCATTCCGGAGCACGTCGTCCGTCGACTCGTCGTCCGTCGGGTCGCCGTTTTGCCTCGCATCGTTCGAGCGGTAGACGACCATCGATTGGACCTCTCAAGGGTCACAACGGAGCACCTCAAAAGAGATGAAGAAGCTCTGGGGTCACATGACTTACCAGGAGTCACATGGACCTTCTGGGCTTCCCGACTACCATCCGATAGCACCCCGTCGAAGAAGATGGCTTAAAGATCTCTCTCAGCATCACTGGGAAGCCCTCCGGCCCTGTCCAGGAGCATTTGTTCTTCAAGCTCCCGGTGGCTCCACTGCTGAGTTGCCTCACCATCTTCGAGCGCGCAAACCTCACCTTGAAGTTCCCCCCAAGCGCTCATGAACTGCGCCTCTCCCTGGAGGAATCGTCTTCCGCCCAAACTTCGTTGGGTGTGTATGTAATGTAGACCCTTGATGAATAAACCACCCATAATATGAAGATCTTGTTCTTAATTGGGTGGGTTGTCTATATGGGGAGACCCCCTATCATCTCGCCGGCTGGGTAGACTGGTATCGAGCTTGCCCCAATCGGGGGTGAGTACGGGGGTGGGTCTCCCTAGTGGAACTACATAGACGGTCGTGGCGCTTCGCGTGTTTTTTTTTCCGCGTGTTTCGTTGCGCCACATTGGGCAACAGAACTGAGGGCTGCAAAGATCGCAGTGCAAATGGCTGGGTTTTTGGTGTGCCCGGCAGGTTCCGTTGTTGAGCAACACCCCGGTGGGAGGAGTGTCGATGGTCAACAAGAGGCTTCTCCACTGGGGACATCGTAAGCGAAGGTGACCGTCACAACTTGTTAGCCAACAATCAATAAACATCATAAAGCTGGTAGTTAAGAGGTGTGTCCGTGTTGTTTCCAGTTCAAAGTAGACATTCAACATAGTATATAGACTGACATAGCGTGCAGTTCGCATTGGTGTGCTCAGCAAAGGTTTTTGTTTGATACAACGTGGTGTGCCCATGGGGTGTCCAGTTCTACAAATGCATCGACAACAACGACAACACGGTGCAGTTCGTTCGAACGTGTGCTCAGCACATGTGCATGTAAAACCGCATGCTGATGGCACGTCAATTCCTTTGATGTGATCCGCACGGGCTGGCGCCATTCCCCCTGCACAGGAGGATGGCGCCATCACCGAGTGCTGCTTGAAGACGCTCTTGTTGGACGAAGCCGCTCGCGTGCCTTTGAGCGTCTTCCTCCAGCCCTCCGAGCGCCCGTTGGGCGCCTTCAAGGCCAAGCCTGCCGAAGTCTGGCATGGCGCGCTGAGCGAGTTCCAGGAGCTGGAAGGCCGAACTGAGCACGGACGGGCACGGATGGGGTGCTGGGTGCGGTACTGGACGGAGTGGTGCGAAGGAGAGGGTTTTGGTGGACGGGACGTTCTTGAGGAGTGGGTTTTTGTGGAGGGTTGTGGATGCTTTGGGAGGTTTCGAGTGGCAAATTCAGGAGACACGGTGACACGGGAGATGGTTTTGTGCGTGAGGCCTTGGGTTTGGGCACAGATTGTTTCGCTGTTTCGTTAGTTTTAGTGTGAGACCCCAATTGACCGACCGCTTTTGGGACCCAGAGGAATGGTCTTTGGGATGCGCTCTCCACCATCATCAAAGAAGACTCAGCTTGTCAGGGATTCCGGGATGCCTAACATAGTAATTTAGACTTTCTGAAAATCACTCAAGGAGAGAGCAAGTTGCGCGACTGTTGAAACTGAACCTATCAGATCTATCAAAGAGCTTTGTTGCAGGTTCTTCAATGTGAAGATCGTAGAAGTGGGCCTGGATCCGCTTAGAGGATCTTAGAGGTTAACACCTAAAAGTACTCCCCTGCAGAGGACCACATGGCACCCGAAACCTACTGGGTCTTGTAGAGGAACATCGTGATAATTCCCACGGATCCACATCTCTCAGGTTCCATGGGATCGTGACAGCGGGAGAGTCACACCTCAAAGTCATCTTCCCGAATCCACCACGGACCTCAGTGGCTTGGGCACTGTTCGAACGCGGCGCCTGCCCGAGGCTCGGACGTGGTCCTCAAAGTGACGCTTCGCGCGAAGGGCGAGACCGAGATGGCACCCATGGCTTTACGAGCCAACACCATCAATAGCGACTGGTCCGACTGTTAGAAGACAACGCAAAGCAACCCTTGGCGGACATAGGTGGAACACCTGTTGCATGGCTTTTGCCCAGAAAGGTAGCATATACAGACATTAGGTAGACTCTTGATAGATAAAGCCGCCCCATTTGAATTGAAAAACCATGAACAAAAACACTTTATATGGGGTGGGTGAGTAATCAAGAGTCTACATTGTCAGTTGTTCTAGACCCTGAATTGTTCGATGCTTCTAATCTTCAACTCATAGAGCTCCTCAAGCGAGTATAATTAGCATCAGACATCTATTCATACGTGACCATCTTCGGCTAAGACGGTCCGCGTCTTCACCGATGGCGTCCGGACTATGCAGGTGATAGAGAAATCAGATGAAATCGCTACAGGGCCCACACTCTTTGCCCCACCAAACCGAACCCGACGCTGGCATGACGAACGGAACCAGGATCGCTGCGGGTTCCGTAAACCGGCATCGCGACTCGAACGGAGCGGACGCGTTCGGCGCCTCTCTCATCCCTCAGAACCCGGTTCCGCCGGTTCCGTCACGGTTCCGCGGCCCGCCAAGAAGCGCCACCGGACAGGAAACCGGAGTGTCCGCGGTTAGAATCGTCTCGGATGGTGAACTCGAAGGGACCTGATGGTTTAGCACGGAGTGGCAGGTGATGCAAATGTGGAATTGCCTCAAAGCAGTCTGGAGGAAGTGGAGCTTGCGGAGAATGCGACTCGTCGAAGAATGGTCAGATGTCAAATAGACCCCGAGCGCCTCGCGAACATCGATAAACATGGATGAACCCCGACTCTGGGAAGCTAATCCTGACAAGACAGACAAGATGACTGGATCCCAGGACTCAAGCTAGTCTATCACAAGACAGGCTAGACAACCGGTACATAATTGTTTAGGTCATTACATGTTAATACTCAATTGCTACATAATAACCGGTATATCATTGCTATATAATCCATTATATAATCTTATTATATAAAGCATTACAAAGTTTCAGGTGACCCCAGATCTTGCGTCTGCTCTAACAAACCTCAGGCTGGCGAGCTCACGTACAGTTACCTGCTCAGCAGTGCCTTAGCGGGTTGCCTCAAGGCTTCCAAGGAGTCACGCGCGGTGAAGATCCGCTTCAATCGAGAAGGTCGCGCATCGCGCCTGCGTTGCGTCCCCCGAAACGGCGCGGACCCGGAGCGACCAGCGACGTTGGGGTGTGGAGCTGGAAGACACCGTCGAAGCTTGTCAACTAGTTAACCAAGACCAGGTTGGGGAGGTGCTCGGTGCTCAACCAAAAAGATAGCTAGCCTAATCCCAGGTGGACCACCACAAGAAAGGGTCTGCCATGGGGTCTCTCAACCTTCTCTTGGAAGAGTTGAGTCTTTGAAGACTTTTTGACTCCTGGTCACTTCTTTGGAACTATATAGCACTTTTTCTTAAACAAAACAAACAAACATGGAAACTGCCACCGGTGTGTGGTGGTTGGGAACGTGATTTTCCGCCTTGGGAGAGTTGAAACGTTTATTTGGGCATATGTGGTCAACTTTTATTGATGCTTCAGTCGCCACATGTCGCCTTGGCTTCATCCCAGCCGCTTCATGCTCAGGTCAGGCTCTCAGAGGCCTGTAGGCTTCACCGCTTCACCTGAACCTGTCTGGCTTCACCTGAGCATGCGTTTCTTCCCGCCTTTTGTGTTGCCCTTCTTGTCGGTCATGTTTGAAAAGCGGATTCAAACCTCATTGTATCAACGTAACAGAACAGAACACAAAGAAAGGGTCCATGGAGTCATGGGGAATGTGTCTCCTCATGGAGCTGCTCCTCACTACAGAAGGAAAACAAAACACTGAGGTACCAGGAGTACGATGAGATAGTCGATATAGGCAGATGATTCCTGAGTGCCCCGGCTGATGCTTCGTGCAGGTGTGATGAGCAATCAGTTCATTCTACGTTCCCGGGGTCGGCAGCTGCTTTGCGAGGCCTTGGTTTGTCCCATTGCGCCGGAGGTGGGGAGGAATCACTTTGTTGAGGAACCACGGAGGACTGGGTGGTGGACTTGCCAAGATGGTAGAAAACATAAGGAAACAAAGGCTTTGGGCCATGGGTTTCCGTCATATTTGATACTGTAATTATATGGTCATACGTATTTGTACGAGGCTTTATATACATGTACTGTGCATATATAAATATGAAAATGTTTGCATGATTGCAGCGAAACAGTTGGTCGTTGTTTTCCGCCAGGTCGAGCGCAGTTGGGCTGACCGTGCTCAGCTGCGCGCCAGCGCAACGTTGGCAGAAGAGTCCATTGGCTTCTGAGCCGAGCCGAGTGCGGATCGTTACCGAAGTGAGCTCAGAGCACATGTTCATGTGGCCCGGCTCAGCAGATGACGATGTGCTCGACGTTTTCGCATATCGCATGTGTTGGTGAGGATCTGGGTCCAAGCTGAGCTTGGCTCTGAAGTACAGAACCCACTTCCTGGGGAGGAAGTCGAGGCAGAAAAAGCGCCACCACGGCTTTCAGACACACTCGTGGAACTAGAGTGTCGAGACGCAGCAAGAGACGCAGTACATATCCCTAGGGTTCCTGGCCTACCTCCGTTTCGATAGTGGTTAGGGTGGGTGCCAGGGGGGCTCTAACCACCTTCTGACAATATGGTTGGAGCCCAAGGGTTAATTTGCACAATTTGGTCAATGCGTGTTGCGTGAGTAGTCCAAGTGGACCTGAAGATATTATTCCCAGACACTCCATGTATGCCATATTTGCCTATGTTACATTGGGTGGTTTGGGGGGTCAATGTAAGCATATATATGGCACACATGGAGTGTCTGAGATTGACATCCAATCCCACGGGCTGTGTTTGTGGGTTCTTTGATGCAAAGGATCGCTTTGCGCAGGTGCTCCGAGGGCACAGGTCTGGAGACCCGGCGGGTTGGAGTGATCAGGGACCGGTGTGCATAAAACGGACTTGGATTGAGCTACACTACACATGGCGAAGCAGAAAAATGGTGCTGGAAAAAAAAGGACAGTGCAACATACAATCCGAGACCTGTTTTGAATTGCCTGCTTTTGACATTTGATCTTGATACCGTTAGCCCTTGCGTGGCCCTTTTACTAAAGCACAAAGCTCAAGCCTTTGATCTAAGGGCAGGCGAGCTGCTGTCCAGCCCCAGGGTCTTCGTTTTCTGCGGGAGGTCCGAGATCCTCACCATTGTCCAAATCTTTTTTTTGCAGTGGCTTGGGTCTTAGGATGCATGAAGCAAGGTGAGCATGGTGAGGACTTTCGGACCAGCAGCTCTTGGTGTTGTTCTGCTTTTCCATTCTTGCAGCTGGAGCATAGACCGTGTGTTCCGTCTAAGAGAGCAAGTTGCAGCGCAAGCTCCAAAATCGTGTCCAGGATTCCTATGCGTTCACAGAAAGTGTGAGAAAGCACAACTATTTGTGTTGTATCCTTCATTCATGAACTTCATGAGGCAGGTTTAGCATGTTGGTAACTAACTTACGCTATGCAGCCTTAACATACATTATGAGGAGCAAGCTACTAGGGGCTCCTGGCATCGCTACTGGGAGCGATCGGACGCTACGAATGGGGCTCCTGGCCTTACTACTAGGAGCAAGAAGCTATTAGGAACATAGGGGACCAGCCCCTCTTTTCCTTTGGAGCAACTGATGCTCTGCTCTCCACGCATGTCGCCACAGCCGCCGCACGTCGCCACCGAAGCCCGTTGGTCTTACGCCCAAGCCGGCCGTCAGGGATCATTGGAGCGTCCTCCGTGCTTGGTCATTTGACACTATAGACCCTAGGGCTCCAACCATATCCTCAGAAGGTGGTTAGACTCCCCTGGCGCCTGGCACCCCACCCCCCACCTTCTCAGGTAGTTGGAGCCCTAAGGGAGACACCACTTCTTTGTTACTCTGCGCAAGTGACCCCAGTGGCGCACGGAGACCTTCTTTCAGCCTTCTTTCACCCGGCCACCTCAGGCCGTCCGTGGATCGTTGTACGGCTCCTCAGGTGCACCGGCTTCGGTTTCGGCCAAAGCAGCCGAAGTGGCCGAGGCAGACGTGGTCCAGGCGCGGGCGAAGTCGCGGGCGAAGCGCGCGAAGGGGGGCGATGGCAGGAGGATCTGAGAGGTTTTCGCTGGCAGCTTGGAAAAGCCCCAGGAGGCCTTGTTTGGTGGATTCTGTTTGGTGGGAAGACTTTGGAAATTGCACAACCGGCTTGCGAGTAGTTCATGTCCGTCCATTTCTGGCTATTGCCATGAAATTTTCCAAGATAGGAAGTGATGTGTCCACATGATATACATGACATGCGCTCTCCCTTCTGGGGGGAACATAGCACCATGAGATGCAGGCAAGAAAGGGTCGTCCCACCTTTTCCGGGCACCTTCCTTCTATCTTCCTTTTTTCCAAGGCTTTTCGTGCACAAGTTGATCCACTTCTTCCAGACTCTTGGACTTTGGGATCCAGTCATTGGGGCTCTCCGGTTCTTCGTCAGCTCGGAGCTGTCCCCAAGCAGGTCGGGCAGCTCAAGATCTTCCTACCTGGCGCGGAGGTCACTCACTCGCACGTGAGAGCCTTGAAGCGGCGGCAGACATCAATGAACAACCTGACCATTTGCATGAGGGAAACCCCTTTGGCAGAGACTTTTTTCTTCTGCAGTCTTATTCTAACTATAAAAATGTGCGCCATCCAAGATGGCACCAATCCCATGGAAGCAGGACGTTCATCGCGTCAGTTTAAAACCCTTGATAGCCCAATCACCATGAAAGGATTCTTTTCTTTGGGCGTTTGAATCGCTGGATTCCCCCTTGGCTGAGGATCCGCACGAAACAGAGGAGCTGGTCTTGAGGCGACGCGGCTACTGCTATGTGGGGGGGCTTGAGAGAGTGTTAAGGTCCAAGATTTGTGAGTCGAAGCTGTGAAGAGAAATCAAGCAGAACTCACTTTTGACCATTTCCAGAAGTCATCTCAAAATGTCTTGTGTGTTTCGGCTTGGGAGTTGATCCGGTCCGGTCCGTCTCTCATCATCTCTCCAAACAGTATGAACTTCAGTGGCCGGTGGGTGACACAAACCTGGGAAGCACAACCCTCATCACCCGTCAACCAAAAAATCGGAGAGATTTGTCGACCAAAATCGGAGAAAAAGATGCGTTGCAATGAGAAGAATTGAAGAGTTCTAGGAGGGAAGTTTTGGACTGTATAGCTTTTAAGAAGTTTTGGAGGTCTTTGCAGAACATGGCCCACCTTGAACAGATTTCAGAGGACTGCAAGTGCATGAATTATAGAGTGGTTCCTTTTGTCGAGTTCCAAACGAAACACCCTCGAAAGGTCTTTTTTTTCAAAAGGTTGGTGAGACCGACCCACGGCCGGCGTCACTGTCCGCCATACGACAGGACGCGACTGGATTGCCGTCGTAGGGGGGGTGGCCGAGCCGCCTTGACCGCACGACCGCCCCGCATCAGGCTGGTCAATCTAGGGCCCTTCGGCTCAGGGCAACATCCCACCACCTTCCTCATGCTGAAAGCCATGCAGGCGCGTTCACGCGCGTCGGCGGCGGTTCATCCGTTTTCTTGGACACGTCCGACCCTTGCCGCGTCAGCGCTCAGCGCGGGTCCACTGGGCCCATGTGGGGAGAGAGTCCTCTTGTTCAAAGGTTTCACTCTTCGAATGTCCATGGAACTCGAACAGAGGAAAGTTGGTCTCCTCAAAAAGGCGCTGGGATCCACTGAAACAGAGATGAGTTGAGATGTTCAAGAAGCAGGATCGAAGGTCTCAAACGTGGCTTTCAAACGTGGATTGTATCATATTAATTGTATCAGTTGTATCTTCCAACAATTCCTATGTGACCCCCTCAATGGTCGCTGTTAGCGACCACTGGGGAGAACACAACACGAGTTCCGATGCGTTCGATGTTTGGTTGAACCGACGTGTTGGTCATGAGATACCAGAGAGTCTCTATATAATAGGTTACCAAAATGCTGGTGAACCAGCCAGCTTCACCCTAAATCAGACTTTAAACATGTCTCCAGAAGCACCTGTGCACGTGTGCCTGAAAAACCCTCGGCAGACAGTGACCAGACACTCCAAGCCCATGTGATCAAAATAAGACCCTGGAGTCGTTCTGAGTCGGGAGCTGCGGTGTTTTTGCGGTGTTCCGACCTCCGAGGTGTTCCCCACGCCGTGAAAACGCGTTCTGTCAGGAGATGACTTGGGCTGGCCTCTCCATGTGCGTGGGGGCCCTCTGATCTGTTCTGATGCAAAGAATTCCATGTTTGGGTGAAGAATGGCGCCACTTGGCACAGTCATGTCTACACTCCCGGTGGGTCGCGGCCACATGGAGAATGGATCAACATGGACCAAATTGCAAAGATTTGCTTTCCTCTTTCAGGGTGTCCATGCGAAATTTGCTAAGAATGATCTAGCACTGCGGGGGCTTGCCTCTACGTGGCATGTGGGGCGGCTTCCAATGGCTTCCATGGCTGGGATAAGCTCAGACGCGGGGAGGCGCTGTTCGGCTCACCACGAGCGCCCAAGAATTTCCTCGGATTTGGTAGGTGTCAAATTGCCAGGGCTTGCTTTCAAGGACTCGCGATGTTCGGTGCATAGGCTACCGTGGAGTGAGTTCAAGTGGGTCACCACGTTGTCGTCGACCTAATTAGTGGAAATGAGCTCATGGTGCTCTCGACCGAGGTTTAGTAGCAAGTTCCTCCAACATCCACGGATGGCCATGACCAAACTGGCACCAGGACTATGGCTGTGGAAGTGGCGTATTGGGTCTACTGGCATTGAGGACTGCCGGGGACGGAGGTGGGACCACAGAAATCGGATCCCAATGGGTGGGGTTTGGAAGTTCTGGTCCAAATTGTTGGTCTCACTGTACATGTGTTTTCGATTGTGCAGTCGTATGTCGGAAGGATGTTTGGAGTGCTCAGTCGGATGTTGTTTGTCCAATACGCATGGACGGGTGGATCAATACCAAACGTCAAAGTCACGAGCTCCGCACATCACGCAACCGTCATGTCGGGCATCCAGAAATCACGCCATGTGTAGGCGCCTTGTGTGGGTGCGCTTGCAAAGGTCTTTGGGCCAGCCAGCACGGAGCGCGGAGCTGCAAGAGCAGCACGGAGCACGTGGCCCACGCGTTTGGAGGTGCAGAACCTTCATGGCTGGAAAGCTCTTATGCCCGTGGCTCCACGCGTTCATCACTGATCTGAGTCACGCCGAGACCCGCCTCAGGAGTCACATCCTTTCTTTCGAACCGGCCGGTTCGGTCACGCCGTGGCATGTCTCAAAGGAGAGGCTGAGGCCTGGCAGCATTTTGGGTCATGGACCAAATCGCACCGCCAATCTGAGTGGGCGACAGACACTTGCAATCTCAAACAAAAGGTACAAGTGTAAAGACAAGAGTCAGCAAAAAGTTTGCAACAGTTTAGGTTCACATTTCGAGGGAGGTTGTGGTCTGCGGCCTCACTTGCCGAACAGCCATTTTGTAGCAGATCACCATCCATCACCATGCTAGTCACCACGCAGGTCAATTCCTGCTGATCGTCGAAATCAGCGGCCTCTCATTCCATGCACTTCATAGCTTTCCGGATGCTGTTGGAACTGGCACTGCACCTCATTGAGGACCAGCGAAGCCGGCAGTACACATAGTTCCCTTCGCTACGCCGTGTATCGTCCTAATTCCAAAATGGGCCGAAAGTGTGACGTGAATGCTCCATGAATTGCCCATCATAATATATCATAATATACTTCAATGCGCGTGTTGTTTGTTGTTCTTTTTGAAAGTGTACGGGCGCGGTCCCTGTTGCCTTCCAGTATGCTTGTAGCCTTGCACATTGAGTATGCTCACACATCTCCGCGTCATAACCTACGACCTTCCCTTGGCGGAAGACAGAGAAGCACCCCAACGCATCAATCCATGTTCCAAAAGTGAATGAACTGAAGGGGGATTCCTTAGGCTTGAACATGGAAGCCTTCAAGCAAGCATGTCGAAATCCAAGCAAGATCAATTCATCTCGTCAGGAGGTTAGCTCCTTTGCTTTGCAATGCGGTAAAGAAGAGCGATGGAGCACCTTCTGATGATTTTTTGGTGTAGAAGAGAGCCTCCTTGAACACTCGTTTGAACAGCGACAAGTCATCCAGAGATCCGTAAAACGTTTGGTCCGCACTAAGCAACCGCTTAGCAATTGTTCACTGGATGCGTTCAGTTTCACATAAAGCTCAATTATATAGGTGAATTGATTTGAGGGACCCATTTTGTGCAGATACCCACAGCATACCCCCCATCCCGACACCATTTCCGTTGCTACTGTCGTTTCTCTCATGACCTCCAGTAGCCCGGTTGCGTCGGTTCTCGTGCGTCTACCGATGCTGTCAGGCTGGGTGCGAAGCGATGCCTGGGGGTCCGGTGGCTCAAGAACAGGGCGGCGCCAATTCAGAATAAGAGAGTTGAGGCTGTAAAAGGAGGCCTGAGGTAGGTGTGGGTTGGCTTCAGGTACATGAAGATTGCCTCTTCACCAAGCTAAAAGAACCATGGACATAGGAAAATGCACTTGGAGCATTACTAGATATTGAGCCCCACAACTCTATATCCACAATTGGGAGTACATCGGCTAACACGCCTTCTTCCCTTGTTCTTTCAGTATTTCTTTGCTTCACCACGGCTGATGGCAACCCAGGTGGACAATGTGCCAGATGCCCTACTCGCGGCGCAAGACAATGCCAGGGCCAACGAGTGCCGGATTGCCTAGGTCTGTGGACCCTTAGAATCATCGCCCAGTCCGCGGGATTTGGAGGCAAGAATTTGCTTCAGTGGTGTCCTGCTGGTTAAACGGTTCAATTGCACCCCCCTCACAGGTTTGAACAGCTTGGCCTTTCATTTCGGCCCTTCGTGGCCAGTTTTCAAACTATACCCTCTCGTTTCTGGTGGTGCGCGGGGTCGCTTCATTGAAGACCCAGGGAGCCAGAAGGGTTGATGTTGGATAAAGTCGAGTTCCGCAACTGCGCAGGATTCCGCAACTAGGATTCCGCAACTGTTTGGTCGGATTCCGCAACTGGGATTCCGCAACTAGGATTCCGAAACTAGGATTCCGCAACTAGCATTCCGCAACTAGGATTCCGCAACTAGGATTTCGCAACTAGGATTCCGAAACTAGGATTCCGCAACTGTCAAGATTCCGCAACTAGGATTCCGCAACTAGGATTCTGCAACTGGGATTCCGCAACTGGCGTTCCGCAACTAGGATTCCGCAACATTGTGGACTCCCTCACTAGGATTCCGCAACTTTGTGAATGATGAGGGGGTTGGCGTGATGTCGAGATCACACGATGGGGACAAGGGGGGGTTGGGTGGGGGGCTAATGACGTTGGTTTGGATGTGCTTCGAAGGTGATGTCACAGGCACACACGCTGTCGCATGATGTGGAGATCACCAGTTGCAAGTTTCAGAAGGCAAGTTGCAGAATCTGACTTTCCGGTTTCAGAATACCAGTTGCAGAATCTGACTTTCCAGTTTCAGAATACAAGTTTCAGAATCCCAGTTTCAGAATCCTAGTTTCAGAACCCCAGTTTCAGAATCCTAGTTTCAGAACCCCAGTTTCAGAATACCAGTTTCAGAATCCAAGTTTCAGAACCCTAGTTTCAGAACCCCAGTTTCAGAACCCTAGTTTCAGAATCCGACCGATTAGTTTCCGAATCCGGCTCTAACCGGTTGATGTTGGGATGCGAACCTTTTGTGCGACGGATTCGTGCGCGGAGACTTGCGTGTGCTGCACCGAGAGCTGCAGAGGCCTTGAGCGCTTTGAGTTGCACTTGCCCCCAGCGGTCCGCAGCTGAGAGCAGCAACTCGCCAATGGTTCACTCACTGGATACGAAGGACACCCTCCAACTCTGCAGAGTCTCCATCCACCTGTTGTTTGGTGGACTTATCTAAGGGGGCCCCCCTCCCTTTGTTCCGGAACAAATCCAATGTGCGTGGGTTCCCCAGCTGTCTTGGGATCTGTAGTTCAACTGAATGAAGCCTGTGCTTTCGGGTGGAGGACTTGGACTCCATGATACCCGACGCATGCTCCAGCGAATCAACCCATCGAAGGCATTGAAGAAGGATAGTTCCAAACTGTCCAGTTTGGATCAGTGTGAGCTCAACACCCTGTCGGAGCTTCAGACCCTGTGCCACAGGGCATCAGGATCAAAAATAAAAAGGATCAAAAACCAGAAAATAATCCTGACTAGCTCCCCAGGTCCTTGGGTCCCCTGGTCCTCTGGTCCTTTGGTCCCCTGGTCCTTTGGTCCGCTGGTCCTTTGGTCCTCTGGTCCCCTGGTCCTTCGGTCTCCTGGTCCGCTGGTCTCTTGCTCTCCTACTACGCTGGTCCCCTGCTCCTTCGGTCTCTTGGTCCAGTGGGCACCTAGACCTAGTCCCTTGGTCTCCTAGTCCGCTGGTCTTATGGTCCTTCAGTCTTGGTAGCTCCCTAGAAGAGAGATAGCTTAGGGCCTAGGGTATTACCCAGTAGGGGGATAGCGCTGTCTATTATTACCCAGTAGGGGGATAGCGCTGTCTATACGTGATTTGCATTGCGGGGGAGGCGCTGCGCCCTCCCCCGCACCCCCTCCCGCTGTTTTAATAGTTCCCACTGCCGTCCACTACCCCTACTATTACCAGTGCCTCTATCACTCCGACCACCCCACCCCACTACGAGTCTTACCACAGCTACCACAACTACTATCTTCTTTGCGTTGACGCTGCCACAAAGGTGGATGATAAGGCCCAGCGTGACAGCCAGAAACCTTCGCTTAGTAGGAAGCGCTGTGCCCTACCCCCACTACTTCCAACACCACCATCACCAGAACGACGACTGCTACTACTTCTTCTTCTACTTCTATTACTGCTACTACTACCAACTAACTAACTAACTAACCAACCAACCAACCAACCAAACAAACCCAACCAACCAACCAACCAACCATCCAACCAACCAACCAACTACTACTACCACTACTTCAACTACTATTTCTACTACTGTACCACTAATTCCACTATAACTACTGCTTCTGCTACTGCTACTGTTACTGTTACTGCTACTGCTACTGCTACTGTTACTGCTACTGCTACTGCTACTCCTATTACTACTACTACTACTACTACTACTACTACTACTACCATTACTACCACTAGTACTCCTCCTGCTACTACCGCTACTACTACAACGACGACGACGACTACTACTACTACTCCTCCCACTACTACTACTACTACTACTACTACCACTACTACTACTACTACTACTACCATTACTACCACTACTACTACTACTCCTCCTCCTCCTGCTACTACCGCTACTACTACGACGACGACGACGTTGACGACGACTACTACTACTACTCCCACTACTACTACTACTACTACTACTACTACTACTACTACTACTACTACTATTCCTCCCACTACTACTACTACTACTACCACTACTACTACTACTACTACCATTACTACCGCTACTACGACGACGACGACGACTACTACTACTACTCCCACTACTACTACTACTACTACTACTACTACTACTACTACTACTACCATTACTACCACTACTACTACTACTACTCCTCCTCCTGCTACTACCGCTACTACTACGACGACGACGACGACGACTACTACTACTACTCCCACTACTACTACTACTACTACTACTACTACTACGACGTGCTCCTACTACTACGACTACTACCACTACTGCTACGACTACTACTACTACTATTACTACTACTACTACTACTACTACTACTACTACTACTACTACGATTACTACTTCTGCTACTGCTACTGCTACTGCTACGACGACTACTACTACTACAACTACAACAACAACAACTACTACTACTACTTCTGCTACTGCTACTGCTACTGCTACGACTACTACTACTACTACTATTACTACTATTACTACTACTACTACTTCTACTACTACTACTTCTACTACTACTGCTACTTCTACTACTACTACTTCTACTACTGCTACTGCTACTGCTACGACGACGACTGTCCTTTCCCCATTCTATTTTTTCTTCGCTATGAATACTTGTTTTGCTCCTTTTCTTTTTCCTTTTGATTCCTCTTGAATATTTTTTTGATGCTGATCTTTTCTATTTTTTGATCCCTCACCCGTGCCACAGTGGTCGGGACGAACCCAGGAGGTCTTGGACAAGGACTTGGACTTCTACACACGAGAAGGTGCCGACTGCCAAGTGTCCTTTTTGTTGGTGTCGTTTTGCGGACTGGGGCAACAAAGTAATCCCTTTAGTTCCAGTTTCTTCGACTGATGGTTGCTTCAGAGTCCCATCTGGCTGGGGCTCCAAAATAGGATACTGACGGATACTGTACCATATGTACCATCCAACCCCCCCAGTCTCCCCTAAGTAGATGGCAAACCTAAAAGCCTGCTACAAGTGGTTTCAGGATCCTTTCCTTCACGCCATTGACTTTCTGTGGGGTAGCGAAAAAAAAGGGGTGTCCAGTTCAGGTGCCCAAGCTCCTCCAAGAGATCTTTGGGTTGTTTGTTGAGCCAAAGGATGTATCAAGACACCGCCTCCAGGGACTGGAATTTGACTTACCATCCTCCGCCCCATCTTCATTGAATCTTCCTTTGCAGGTGGCACCGGCGAAAACCCCCGACAGGGACTGGATCCATCTAGTTTCTCCAAATCTTCATCAGTCTTCATCTATCCGCAGAAATGCAACCCTGATGCACCTGAAGCCAGCAGTTCCGTCAAGTTCAATCACCTGCGCCCAGCACGGGTGCCAACCACCATTTTCAGGTGATTGGCGCAGCTCCACCATTGCCTGGACCCCGTTGATCCCAGAGGACCGACTGAAACGCCGACCGACTGGGGGCTTTCTCAGACGACGTGTTTTTTCACCTGAAGAAGGTGATGAAGCCGAAGATGCGAAGGTGCGAAGAGTCCAAGACGAGCCCATGGACCCTGGAAACCACTGGTTGGTAGAGGAAAACACTCTGGAAGAGAGGGCCATTGTCAGGGCCTATGTTACTTTTCGGGAGTGTATATTTATTCTCAGCTCAGGACTTCATTGGATCATATTGGTTTGCTTGTGTATGAACCTGATCTGCCCTTCGAACGGTCACAGAATCGTCATGAGTGGTGTGTTTTTTCCCCGGCGGTGTTGGGCTGATTTTTGGTGGGAATAGCAAATGGGCCAGCACGCAAAGCCAAATTGAACCACCTTGCTTTTGGGTTCAACTCCATCAGATTCTACACTTGGAAGGGTGTGTAATCACATTTTCTTGAAGGATGGGCAGGAAGACTATCATTCAGGGGATGCGCGGTTCCTATGAGAAGGTCTATCAAAGTCTTTGTCAATCACAACCTATCATCCGGAGGCCATTTTCCCTTGGTTGGCTGGCGAAAAAAATGCGCAAAGCTACTTCGACAGTATGACAATCATCGCACTTACCCGCTGCCAGAGGGTCTTGCATATTTCCCGTGCTTCTTGCTGCTTTTGTTGAGTAAAGGCAAGCTGCACCACAGCAAACCATCAAAACACTATGAATCTCTCTCAATTTTTGTCAAGCTCTTGAGTCTTTCCATGTCTTTCCTGTCTCACATGGTGCGTTCGGCTTCCTTCCATCGAACAGTCGTGTCAGGAGGTGGATGTAGTCCTGGCCAACATCGTGGTGGGACCGCCCGGGATGCCCAGGAGGGCTCGGTGGAAGCTGGGCCGCACCGCACCGCACTGGTGGAAGCTGCTCCAAGGCGCATGGCCCTGTACTGCATGGGGTCAGTCCATGCTATCAGTCCAGAGATGTCCAGAGTCCCAAAAGCGATGCCAACGAAAGCGTCTTTCTAGAGGAAGTAGCAGTGTGTCATCGGTTGCGCCATCGGTCGGTGCGGGAAGCGAGATACGAGCTCCACGCGTTTTCCGACTCGTGCGGCGCGGGAAGCGACGGAGACTTGGAGAAGGCCCGGCGGATTTGCCAAACATTCCGTCCCATTCCGGCGCCGTCTTGTTTTCATTGGCCAAAGCTGGGTGCGCACACCGGCGTGGCCAGGCGTGGCACGGATAGTGCACTTTTGCATAGGCCTTGTAGGCCTTTGTTTTGAAAAGGTGTTTCAAAGTCCAAGCAGCGAAGCGTTCATTCTTCAGACGTTCCCCCCATCACCATATCCTGTGCCAAAGAAACCATTGCCGAATGTCATCCGACTGTTGGCTGGCTACATCTTGGAATCACGAGACAATCGTTGCCCAACATAGGACTCCTACAAGCATGTGGACATGCTCTATATCCCAACAGCAATATTCTCCATACATGTCTCTCTTGGAACAGTTTCTGCACATCACGTCCACTTCTCCAAGGTTGTGCCGCTCCGCCAAGATGGTGGGGCAGCTGCTACGGCCAGATGGTCAGGCAGGGTGAACGCTGCCAGATGGTCAAGCGAGATGTATCTTGTTTAGATACTATACAGAATTATATAGAATTATACAGATACAAGATGATACAAGTATCTATATGAACCATTCAGCTGAACGCCGCCCGGTTGAACGCCGCCCGTTTTTTGAGAATCTACTGTATATATTACATAGAGTCTTCAACCTGGGGTTATAACAATTTCCACAGCAGTGTGTTGTGGAGCCTGCTCTACCAGAGAAAGACCACAGAGTCCACGTGCTGCACGTGGCGATTGGTCCCTGCGCAAGGTCCTTTTGGCTGGGATGAAAGAGTTCCAAGTGAAGCAAGTTGAAGAGGCCAGACGTGGCCCCTGACATCTGGTGAGCTTGGGCAAATCCGCCAACAAGTGCAGGTTGAACATGGAGGGCCTGCCCCTCTTCTTTGGTATTCTTCTCTTTGTAAAAGTTCCTGTCGTGTGAGATACGCACACACCCTGATCAGTATCCCCACACAATCTGATACCTGTGCTGGGACTCCCATGTTGTGCTATGGTAGGAATCCAAGGAATTATTTTGTTGGCTGCTCACCCACCACTCGCAGGCTTTTGAAGACTTCGACCTGCAGGCCAGGCTCTTTGCAAGAAGGCATCATCCAATTCATTTCTGTTCAACTAAGATTGGCCAATATCTGAGGTGAAAGATATCATGGATGGCTGGACATTCATTGCCGGAACAAAAACAAATTGCCAAATATATATGTTTTTTATTTTTTTATATATAGTTATTTATCTATTATATTCCATTGATATTTAAAAATGAATACCGATTGAAATTAAATATATAATTTAAATAGTTGTATATATATATATATATTAAATTATTGAATATATTATATTGTTTTTTGTTTTTAAAATTAGTGGTCGTTGAATTTAAATATTATATTGTAATAATTTGAATTGATTAATATTATATTGTAATATTTTTTAAATATATTGAAATAATATGAATTGATTGAATTGAGTATATAGCGTGGGAGGTATATTAAAATTTATTTTATATATTAGAATGTATCGGTTTAATAATATTATAGAAAAATAATAATATAAATGAATTATGAACTATGGTAATCGATTGAAAATATGGAT